TTTTCGAATGGATAAATAGCATTACGTTCTTGCAACTCTGTATTGTATGCCTGGAGAATTCCTGGTGCAACAGAAACCATTGGTACACGAAGGTATACTTCTATGAGCTTCACTCTATAGTCTGCATTTTCATCGTTGGACATCAAGTGAAAACTGTCGCGGGATCGAGAAAGTTTGATTTTAATTTCCACTCCATTGATGATTAATTTATCCATATCAAAAAGGTCCTCGGCTAAATAACCTTGGAGATCAACAGTTCGAGAACCATATGTTTTTTCTAGTCTCTCAATCAATCCAAAGTTATTACCAGAGACGGCATCTGCATCGTCCATATAAGGAACATTCCCAATAGTTGGTTTATCTAGATAGAAAAATTCGCTTTGCAAACGAGAATTGTGAGCAGCGGGTGAAGCATGCAACAAACGCTTAATATGAGCCTTGTGTGGATAATGCAAAGTTGATGAAGTAACCACTTGTTGCTGCAGTTGAACTTCAACTTGTTCAAATAGAGCGTGCATCCAACCAGATACAGGGGCTACATTACTAATTGGTACAGAATCTAAGTTTGATCCGTCTCCTTTTGTTAGCTTAGCTTTCACATGGAGTTGTGTTTTCTTCAAGTCCACATATTGGCTGGAATTGTTTGGAATGACAAACTCGATCGGACTTCCATCATCTAGCGGATTGACTGGTCTAATATCTACGTAATTAAGTGTGTGAACACTACTCTGTGTAGGCGGTGTTTCAAATAGTTGCAAGTTTGAGGTCATCACATCGGTGCTATCTTTTATTTTGTAGGCCATAGTTTATACTGTTTCTTAACAGGTGAGCTCTTAGGAACCTTCTTCTTCTTCTCCGGTTTCTGATTGTTTAATGCTGGAGTCCTTGTTAGTTTTCGTTTATAACTAGATACAGCATCACGTGACTCTTCCTTTTCTCGTTCTATTTGAGCTTCGGCTCTTTCTACCACTGCTTGCATAGGTGAAGTAATTTTAACCGGTTCTGGTTGAATAGCATTCACCGATATCCATTTAGCTCTATTTTTACCATGTCCTACTTGTGCGGTAACCTTCCCCTCTCTACTAGCTTTGATCAGTTTATGCCATTTAGCAGCATCATCCACATATGGTATTACCTTCATCGTTCAATATAATTTCTTCAAATGAAGTGTACAGCTTAAAGTTTTTTGTTGGAATGAAACTGGTTCTCCTTTATCTCCTTTTATATATATCCGAATTCGATCAAATTCTCTAAGTGACTGTTCAATATATATGATAGGATTAAACACGTGATAATTTTTGTCAACAGGAATCCTTCTCAAAATAGGTTGTTTAGATTCTTCTGTTATATTTTCCGTAGGGAGATTGCAGAAGATGTTTAGATATTCCAAGTCATTGATGTTAACTATAGAGGGAAGTTGCATATCTGTTAATCCCACGCTCCATGTTCCCTTAAGATTTAAATAGCTGGGAAGTTTCACTGTGAAATCATCTGGTCTGTTGAAAGGATAGATGTTTGTAGAATCTCTGCTACTGAGAAACAAGTACATTTCATTTTCCATTTTGTATCTCTCTTTGTTCAGCCTGTTTGCTCAATATAAAGTCTTCTGATGTTGTACTTATAGAATATGTTGCTTGCTTAATCAAAACCTACAAATTATCTGCAACAGTTCTAGATTCACAACACCGAATACATAATCCTATTACACCTGTCCCAATCAATGCAGAGATAATAAGAATGATTTCTTTTATATCTATAGTGACATCTATAGTAGATATTTTTTCAGTGTTTCCTGGTTCAGTTGTATTGGTTACATTTGTGATGACTGAGTATGTGTTTGTAAGTTGTATTCCAAGAAGTAAGAGGTAAACCATGTATGAATAAAACATCTTCACCGGATGAAATCTAGTTCAATACTGATTACTATGACAGTGGTATTTTATTTATATGGGGATGTTTTATTCTAACATCCAAACTTAACACTTGTTATTATTTATAAATAAAACATTGTATAATCATATCTATCGCATAACAATGCAAAAATATAATTTCATGATTTGTATTTATTGTATAATTATAATCAAAGTCACAATTTTATCTCTTCTGTAATGACTACATATTACCATGGGTCTGTTATCACAGATTTCAAGATGATATAATTCACAACCTTCATATTTGGAGACATTTACTTCTTATTTCATTATATGTTTAACATGGATTTTCACATTGACATATGAATTCTAATCAATTTCATAACACAAAACATTCAATAACTAATAATTCAAGACAGAAACTTCACATTTCTTATAATTTCATGACTTGGCTCCATGTAATTTAATATTTTGACACAATGTTTGGATAAGAAGCAGTAACAATCGACTTGATAATGAACTATGTCAACAAATAATGAAACGTTGAAGGGATTAACATGCATATGACTTATACGGTATGGTATAATGTAATATCCTTTTATTCTAGATTTCGTTCTTTGTTTTAAGGCAGGTAAATACATGCTAAAACTTTACCATTGGTCACTTGTTATAAATATGAATAGAATAACCTTTTATAACTTGTAGAAGGATTGATTTAGTAAATGAAATTACTATTTGTTCAGCTGTGTGCAAATGTACTCTTGTTTATTTGAAAATGTAATGGTCAGTCAATGTGTATATAACCAAATATTGGATTTTATTACCTTATCCCCAGGGATACATATTTATTTTATACTCATAATGAAACACACACAATTTAAATGCTTCATATTCACTACATAATTATTCTGTTATCTCAAATTTCAAGATCATAAAATTGAGAACAATCATATTTCGGGACATTAACTTCTCACCCGTTATTAGTTTAACACATGTTTTCACATTGATGTATGAATTCTAATCAATTTCATGACAGGAAACATATAATTATTAATAATTCAAGACAGAAACTTAACATTTCCTGTATTTTCGTTACTGGTATTCACTACATAATTATGCTGTTATCTCAAATTTCAAGACCATAGAACTGACAACAAACATATTTCCAGGCATTAGCTTCTCACCAAGTTATAAGTTTAACACGTGTTTTCACATTGACTTACGAATTCTAATCAATTTCATGACAGGAAACATATAACAACTAGTAATTCAAGGCAGAAATTTAACATTTCCTGTATTTTCGTCACTGGTTAGGGAGTGTATAAACAGTTTCGATAAACCATTTGACAAGTACTTCGTTTTCCAAAGATAGATATCCTTTTTTCAATCAAATTTAACTCCAAGTAATTTTTAATTCACTGTAGAATATTCAGTTTCATTGAGAAATGTTAGGTCTTAAGTGTACAGTATACTTATGAGGAATGTTTATATTCTACTACTCTGGATTGTTCTTTGTTTTAAAGAGTTTAAACAAAGCTTTTGTGATTTATTACAAATGGACATTCATTATTTGTTAAGAGACTTAACATTCAATCACCTATTTAAAGCAATGTAAATAATATTATTACATATAATACTATCAATGCTTTAAATATGTAGAGACTTTACACATCAAGCACCTGCTCAACTTAACTTTTAGTTTGATTACTTCTACACATATTATTACATTATTGAAATATTTTTTCAGCTGTGTTTGAATGCACTTTTGTTAATTGGAAACTTTAATGGTCAGACAATTTGTAGATAAATAAATATTGGATTTCATTAGATACGGCCAAAGAGAACGTTTATTGTAACATTTAATGATTAGGCAATTTGTAAATAATCAAATATTTGATTTCATTATATACACCCAAAGAGAATGAATGATAAAAGGATAGGATTAATTGAAAGCTGTACTACAATAGCTTGATGTAACAATTAATATTTGCTATGTTGATGTGAATTAATGGAACATGGTTGAATCTAGATGGACAAGCAATTAATGTCTTAACACTAAGGACTTGTTAATGTTAAATTTTTGAATTTTATTGTATCAGCTTTAAATCTATAAAGACCATCTGGGACATTAGTATTAACTGATATTAGTTCTTCTGGAGTGATTAATAACCAATAGCTAAAATGAGATATAACATTTACCCTAATGGGGTGACTTAAGATAACAATGTGCTATTGTTTATTACAATATTTAAGGAACTATTAAATTTTATTGCAAATGTTTCAAGAATATAAAGGATAAGTTTCAAAGTATACAGACAATACCCAATGGTTTCAATAGGATTCAAATTTTTTGGACATTAATTGGTTTCAACTATTTGGGTTTCAAAGTTTCCAAGACAAAACTTACTGGTTTCAATTGGTTTTAAATCTTTTTGAACAGTCCATTAGTTGTTTACATCTGTGTTTACCCAGTCAATACCCAATGGTTTCAATTGGTTTCAGATTATTTGAACAGTACATCTGCTTTCAAAAGTTACCAAGACAACAGTCAGCCATCTTGAATTTCGCCTGGGCAGGTAAGTCAGCCATCTTGTCATTATTGACGTCACAGTTCATCTGACCAATCAGGTTTCGGGTTTCCGGTTTCAAAGTTACCACGTTTCCGGTTTCAAAGTTAAGTAGTTCTGGTTTCTGGTTTCAAAGTTACCAAGACAACGACTTCCGGTTTCAAAGTTACCAAGACAACGACCAATCAGATAGGTGCACCAGATGCACCACATGCACCATGTGTCTCAAAAGTCCGAACTATACTACTCCAATCTATTCCTTACAAGTTAAATACAATATCTCCCAAAAGATTCACAATATGTTGTAAATTGATGAAGTTATTAAGGATTCAAAGTGCAAAAATGGGTGAAAAATGTTTAAAATCTCCCAAATAGAAAAATGATACATTATTGTAAAAATCTTTAGTTTTCCTGAGATAAAGTGTGCACTTTGGGGATTTTTAGAAAATAGACATGAAAAGGAATGACATAAGCCAGAAAGATTCTAAAAATGAAACAATTTTTTGTTTGGCTGCTTGCTAGATCTGATTCTCTCTTTAATTTTGAATAATAATAATCTCACTTGTTTCATCGTGTAAATCCACGATCCGAACTTCAACTGACAGGTCTGTGTATCATAGGGGAACCGCCTAAAGTTCATTGCACATTTCGTCTTTAGTGTCATATGTGGGACCCAAAGCACGGAGCCTTTAGAATCTACTTTCACTAGGGTCTTGTGAGTATAGTAGGCGTCCACACCAACTCTGAAATAAAACCCAAAATAACTTTTTAGATGATGTTTATGATTTTTTACTGACTTTTTGCTTTGTGAGTTTTTTCTATTTACCGGGGCTTCTGTTATGAGTTAAATATCTACGCCTGAGTAAATCTGAATTATGGCCATTCAGAGGAAAATATATCGCGGCAATGTCACAATGATTCACATTTTTCTTAACTACATTTTATATGAACAATATTATATTGTGTGCGATATACAGTGGGTCATATCATAGAGATTTGATGATGAATATATTTAGCTCTTAAAATTTCTTTCTCACTTACGTTTCGTACAACTGAATGTCCGGGGTCCATATACTTTCCGGCGTTACCGCAATGTCAATGACATTTACATAGTATGATGTATTCCATGAAAAATAATTATCTGTCCACTTCTGAAATAAAAATAACTTTGTTGATACAGATTCTCATTTTTCGCAAAGAGCATCCCTTAAAATATGAATGTTTTAGCACATTCTGTAACTTCAGTCAAGTATAAGGATCCGGGATAAGGATGAAATAAATAAGATTTTTAAAGAGCTGTAAATGAAGAAGTTCTTGTGTAAACGATGAATGTTATCTTCAATTTCAAATTTTCATTATACATATTTGGGAAACAGGTAGATGCAGTTTTATTTGGTAGTCTACTTAACCTTTTAAATAACGATTGGCGGTTTTCGTAACTTGTATTTCCTGTTGAGGCGATGCAACTGAAACCTTGCGAATCGGGATGGTTGGACTAGACATTATTTATTTAATATACTATGTAGACGTACCATTCGTAAATATGCGTTGATTTCAATGACTTCGTTCCTTTCATTCAATTCATCGATAGAGTTCACAGCCATTCCAAATGAAACGTTAACGGATTCACTTGGTCGGACAGACGTGTGACGATACCCATCGAGGAAGCGTTTCGTCAAAGTTTCATCGAGACTTTCTGAAAAACCATTTTGAGTATTCATCTAAATGTGATAAGCACAAAATTGACGATGTCTAAAGAGCTAGTTAATGCCTAGGTTGCCCGCTAGGTCACATTTGCACCAGGCGCCGACCGATGTCTTGGTTTCGCCGTGAGTATACACCTCCCTCTCACCTACCCACCTAGCTAGCTAGCTAGCTACCTAACTACCTTGCTACCTACCTAGCTACCATTTCTAATTTCTAGATCAAAATGTTATAGCAAAATAAAGAATGGGCGTTTTGGTCCGCCTTGTAGAATGAAATATTCAATACGTGCAACAAGACTTGTCAGTATAGTATGGTTCATGATTAACGAAAACATTTTCTGTTTTGAGATTTCCTTATTTGTTGAGTTCCATTTTGTGTGAGGAGCTAAGGTTGCCAAACTTATGGAGGGGGATGTAAGTATTAAATAATATGGTAATTGTAAAAAATTAATGTTCATCTGATGGCGGCTTAGATAGAGACCTCACCTGGTACTGTTTTTAATTAAAATAGGATCTGAATGGAACTCCCATCAACATGAATCAGGAAAACATATACCTTTTAAAACATGTGCCCATTTGACTAATTGCTTATAAAGTAAGGTTAAGTGGTTCCTTATCTTCCCGGCTTATCTTCTCTCATTACAGAAATAGTTATGTACTAATTCGGCTTTAATTGATCTAATATTGAGTTTTTATTTAAATGAAAAGATAGGTAAGTGGTGATATGACGTTAATTTGATCATAGTGCATCTCATTACTAGATACATAGCGCAATAAAGTGTTTTCATGATGTTGTTACCATGACGACACCAAAAGTTTCATCGATGGTTATATACTATTAGCGTTGAAATTCCTGTGTAACTACATATAAAGTGTAATATTATGTAATCAATGATATCGATGTATTATGAATTCCAACATATCTCAGTTTTTGATCCAACATACATTATTGGTTGAAATACATATTTGCATTCAAACATCTAAATATTGAAGTAAAGGCACTACTACTTGAGCTACGAACTGACATCGTACCTGCTATTACAACACAGAGGTATGTACCTGCTAAGTTAGGGGATTATTTTAAACTGAGTATAAATTACATTTCTTGCAATTAATAAATGCTTTTAAAAAATCTTTAACAATTTGAAATTGAACTGTAGATCAATACTTTTACGAATTTGGAATAATCTGTCAGAGAAGTGGTCCCGTAGACTTCAAACATGGAAATTTACAAAGCTGACTATTTCCAACTCTTTTTGTTAGTTCACTATGATGCCACTATACTTTGCCGCTGTTCTCTTTGGAATCTTTGAAAGGCTACAGGCCAAAGGAAAGGATGAAGAAGCTGTGGTCATCGGCTATCACGATTTCTTTGAGCAAGACATGGATTTCAAAAAAGGTCATTTGTTATTGTTATCATTTTTATTGCAGTAGTTAGATGATTTATTTGTGTAAAGTGCTGTTTTTAATCGGAGATTTTAATCATGTGAAAAGTAGGGTTGCTTGTATTTGAGTCAGATTCAGATTACAACAGTGCAACATTGGAACATCGCATTCTCCGATTTTCTAATCAAAACTAGTTTAGCTATAATCCTCTGTGACCCCTCGTCCTACTGACTACATACCCTCCCTGTAGTAGCGGGGGCCACACGGGTTTGAAGCTAGACTAGATAAAAAATCATTTTGCCATTTCAAGTATATGATATCTAAAATATATCTTAACAAATGATAATTTAAGTTTTTGAAGGTTAATCATGGATTCCCATAATTATTGAGGAATAGATAAAACTCTCTGTGATACAGGGTGTCAAATAAATATGTTCTATATTTAAATATGTTGAACATCCACAAAATGTTCCATAACTTTTTAGTCTGTATGATATATTCTAATTCGTATTAGCACATTAAAACTAGGCTTCATGGAGCAACTCTACAAGAAGTTTCAAATGACTAGCTCAAATTTGTGCAGTTTTGAAATCAAGGAGAGAACATATTTATTTGACACCCTGTAGAGTGAGCTAAAGTATGCTTACCCCGCGTACAAAGTCTAGTTATACACTACTAAAGATGAAGCTCTCTTTAAAGAAGTGAAGTCGAACGAATGCAAAGGGTTAAGAAGTATGCTTGATGTACTAATTACTTACATACTAATTAAAATTAATTACATACTAATTACTTACACATAATGTGCAGGGGATGGGTCTTTTTATAAAACATGAGGCATTCTGTAATGTTTGTTCTGTTCGTTAATTTATAAAATCTATGAATTATAAAGCACTATAAAATATTAACGTGGTTGGCTGAGGCACACTAAATGCTAGTTCAATAAGTTAAACCCAATACCACGGCTGAACGTTCTTGTTGCCGTGATTGGGTTTAACTTTCGTGCTTTGCTTTCATTGGTTGCAAATTCTCACTATTAGTTATTAATAAAACGCGCATGGGCTGCCATGCATTAAGGGCTGAATAGGCACGGACGTTAAACCTAGGGCGGGCCACAAGATATGTCAGATAAAAAAGAAGGCCCAGACTAGGTTTAACTTGTTGAACTAACTAAATGCTTGCTTCTAGATCTGTGTATGGACATTGTGTTTGTGATAGACAGGTCATGTAGCGTTCGAAAGGTTGATCTCGTCAATGAATACCGTATCATTGAGAACGCTGTCAATGCTATAGAAGGATATGGACCAGATAAGACAAGGGTAAGGAATTTGTATGCTTATGTCAGTTCCCGCGACTGGCCTCCGACCCACCGTCTCATAAATGGAATATCCATCCCGCCTACTATGTACTACGGCAGGGCCGTAGGGAGGGGGGGGGTGTTCCTACCCCAAATCTTGCCTCAAAAAATTCGAACCCACCTTTTCCAGCAATTATGCAAACCCTCCAAATTTTGAGTTAATTTTTGCAGTATGTCAGTAATATTTATAGTTTTTTGAATATTTTGAATATATACAGTATCTAAGATATTTGAGGTATATGTAAAGATGGAAATATGTGAGATGTACACTTAATCTTGAGTAAAAAAAGACTGAGAGAAAAGATCTATTTCGAGATGGGTGATAAGAGGTTTTTACTTCGCATTTTAGGCCGGAAAATCGACTGATCTTATACCATCAAAAGGAATTCAATTGTACAAATCAAACATACTTTCCGAGTAGAAACTATCTGATTGGAATACAACATCAAAATGATTTCCTAATTTATTATATAAATCAGAGAATTTTGAATATTGCCTAGTCCAGTGATGTAATGCACGCGATGCATCAAAGTTCTGAACGCTAGGAAACTCATACTAAATATCACTCAAAATATAAATAAATAATATTTACTGTGAAAACTTGGTGAAAAAATGAGTGAATTGAATATGAAGAACAATATTTCCATCATAGGACACAAATGGCTACATTTTGGAAATACGTACAATCAAATAATAAAATTCGGCAGTGTTTGATTCAAGGAAGCAAACAATTGTTTTCTGACCTATCCAGAAAGTGTTTAAAACATAAAATTAAAAGGGATTTAAAAAGGCATTTGCTGAAAAAATATGGATTTTTGCCCTTAAGCTTATATAAATGTTCCAAATGAACGAAATTGGTCAAAAATTGGGATATTTCACCTTTGCTTTTTGCTTTTGCAATTGCTTGGCAAAGGTAAACTTCTAAATCCAGCAAACTGGCCAGTATCAATAAAATGGACCAAAGTTAAGCAAATTTGGCAACATTTAAGCAAACTTGGCAGAGATTAGCTAATTTGGATTTTTTTCCCAAATTCACCGTTAGGTGGCTGCAAAAAATGTTGCTAAAAATATACGAACCCCCTCCTGTCAAATCCTAGCTACGCCACTGTAAGGTGAAGGTACGTAACTGAGTTTGTCATATCGTATCTAAAACCCGTAACGCATTGCATTTTCTTTAACGTACACTTCATATTATTTATCTAACACACGATCATTCAGGTTTGGCCATCGTCACGCTGTAGGCAAACATGCACAGCTATCAATGACCCGAATGCAGCAGGTATAGCAAGAATGCACACACGGATGATCTCACTTTTGACACTGGCGGATCTGCCCCCCCCCCCTTGGGTGGGCCCAGAAAAAAATGGGCCCAAAAACAATTTGCCAAAAAAGGCCCTAAGGCACCTAAAAGTGGGCCTTTTTGGTCATTACTGGGCCTTTCAAGGCCTTATATTCAATTCTAGGGCGGGTTTTGAAGAAAATGGGCCTCCAATTTTCAAAATTTAGGCCCACTTTTTGGTTTTAGGGGCCTAAAAATTTTTTCCGGAATTTTTCCTCATACCTGAAATTTGCCCCCCCCCCCCTTGTTGGTTCCCGGATCCGCGCCCCTGTTTGAGGTTTGCAATTGTCCTGAGGTCATTCTCAGTCATAACTCTATCTTTGCCGTATCCCCACGTCAGTCATATAGGGACATTTTGGACGATGTATGCAGGTTTGCCTCCAGCACATTAGTGGCCACCGGAGCATGTTCTTTAAAGTGCTGTAACAATATGACTATCTTGGTCATGAAATATAGTAGGCTGGTAGGAAATTGAATGATGTACAAATCAAATGTTTAAAATACTTAATATCAGAGATTATTTCTTAAAATGACAAAGATATGAGGAACATATCGTAAGGGTCTCCGTTTTTGACCACTTTGTAGATTGGTCTCGTTACATTTGATCATGGAGCCAGAGTCGTGTTTGGTTTGGACGATGAGAAGACCTCCACCAAAGAGAAATTACTTGCCAAACTCGGTGAATTGAAAAAAGATAAATCTCGCCCAGATGAGTGTAAAACATACACATGGGATGCACTGAAATTGGCCAGGGAAAGTGCGAGTCTCTTTGGTTAGTACTGAAATACACTAAAATACATTTAAGAAAATCCTTGCTATTAAAGTCTAAGTCACATTTGTTCTACGCCGGCCGTAAAATCGATATTGAAAAGCTACATCGTACAACATCCCTAAGGCTATATACATGTATTTTAGGTTGCATTTCTCTCGATTTTGGGAAGCCACGGCCGCCGTACGGTTGTCGTAGATCAAATGTGATTGAGGCATAACGGAAGTTCTTCAATATCAATAATATACGTTCCAAATGAATACTGTATTGTACTACTGTGATAATAACACGTGTCGTGTAACGAAAAATGATTAAATCTGTGTTCCATCTGTTTATTCATAGGAGGAGTAGATAAAAACAGTAAACGAGAGAAAATATTGATGCTTATCACAGATGGTGTACCTCTTGACAAACAAGGCGTATGTATAACATATAAGGGACGTTTAAGCTTGCATGTAAAATCGAAACGAAATACTATACGTATGACCAATCGCCCATACAAATGCATCGCTTTTAAAATATTTTCCGTTCACGTTTAGGTTGTGAAAAACATTGCAAGCTTAAACTCCCTATTGAACAATTTTTTTGTCTGTAATAACTGCATCCGTGTCGTTGGCGCAATAAGTGACATGTATATCACTGGTGATCCGCTCGATTGCGCTGGTTACCGAAACGGTTCGTTTTGATAGTATTATATTAGATTATATATCAGAGTATTTTTCATTATTCACTGCGTCTTTTGTCATATTTCTATCTCAATTAATATTCATTTATGAATACATGTATTTAATGTTCACTTATATTGAACATAGATAATTAAACACATTTTGATACACATTTTGTGTCAATTGGACAAAATTTGTCAAAGTATTGAGCACTTTTTGAGAAATTCATTGACTGATCTGTCGGTTTATCTGCGCATTGGAAGGGTTAATATAATACTGCTTGTGCTTAGAACAAACCACTTTGGCTTTAAGTTATAGTTTAGTTCTTTCCAATGTTATAAACACGTGATATGTGTTAAACACTTTCGTTAGTTTCAAATTCACTATTAGTAATTAAATGACATTTTGTAAGAAATTGTGATTATTGAAAATTTATTCTCGAGCTAACAGAAATATAGTGTTGAGAGTCACGTGTCATTGAGTGATGTTACTTATTAATTGAATATAAGAGAATATAATACGGTGGAGATGCCGGGTATTTTATGGAGATTATCAAGAGACCATTAATATGATATTCTATTGTTTCATCCTCTTGACAAACGAAGTTATTTCGAGTCAAATTCTTTAATTAATTGTTTTATATATTTTAAATATGGTTCGAATTCCATGATCATCTATGTTGAATTTATACCCTAACCCAAAAACAACGCAATCTCAAGTTTTGAAATCTAGGAGTAAATATCGTCAAATGTTACATTAAATATTCTTCGAAACATGCGAACAAAGTTACATCATCACTAAAGCTCTCTATTTCAATTTGTGTAGAATAGAAAGATAAAGGCTAATGAAACGCTCGCAGAAGGAAAGGCAAACAAGAAAGCCGGCATAAAAACTATGGTTTTCACAGTCAAAAACAGTAATGGTGTCTTACCTTCTAAAGACTTTTTCGAACAATTGGCATACTCGGTGCGTTGGACGTTCCAAGTCGAGAATGAATTGGTTGAAAGCTTTAAAATCATTGTGTTTCCTCGGCTGGCCAGGTTTACATGTCAGTGTGAGTACATTTAGCTTATTAATTTATTTCAGTATTTGCAAAACATCATTCATTGCCATTGGTCGTCTAAAATATGATTCCATCCTGTTTTTTAGTCATTTAGTAAAACCTGTCTTAGTGAACACCTGTGTTTAGTGAACACCACTTCAAGACATATTTTTATTTGACTCCTGTATAAAATCCCCTCTTTGTAGTTACACCTACCTACAATGAACACTTTTTTGGCTCTATAGCTGTTCACTATATACGTAGGTTTTATGTAGTATTCGGTATTTTTGTAGGTAATACAGAGTGACACAAAAAACGTCACACTCTAAATAACCTTCTAAATTAACCTTCTCAATAATTAAAGAATCTTCATGCTTTTTATGGGTAGATAGAGCGTGCGAACTTGCATGCCTCAACATTGAAATTTAGATATATCTTGTTTTCCGTGGAAGCATGCTCTAACACCAAACCACTCAAAGAATTAAATTGGGAATTTTGTATTTCTTAAACTTAATAAGCAAGTCATCAATTTTGTAGTGGGTAGATAATAGATATGACATATTATTGATAATATGTGTAAAAGCAATCCAGAAATGATTCAGGAAATTGTATTTTTGAACATTATTTGAGTGAAATCGTCAAATAATGTTCAAAAATACAATTTCTGATTTCTGATTTCTGATTTCAAATACAATACCTGAGCAGAATACCAATGTCTCTAAAGCGCAAAGTTGATGCTATGCAAGTACATCAATGTTTCATGAATTGAACACTCTATCTTCACAAAATATCATGAAGATTCCTTGATTGTTGATGGTGGTGTTTTTGTGTCACCCTGTAATACATCTTAGATTACCAAGGTATGAAGTTCAAATTGGTAAGCGAATATGGTATAAATACTTTATCACATTGATTTTATCATATGGTCATGCATCATCATTCAGAGTACATAAATTACACTGAACGAAGCAAATGTCAAAGAATATATCCATTGCCCCTAATGAAAACCTCTCGTTTTTGATTGGTAGATAAATGTCACGTGCCGATCGACCTGATTTACGTAATGGATCGAAGTATAAGCATAACGCCACCAAACATAAAGAAAATGAAAGAGTTCTACAAAGTCATAACCAAGTCATTTTCTATTGGCAACTTATTACCCAAGGCTAACCCCAAGACTTCAGTCGCTATGTTGAGCTACAATAGTGAGGTCTACTTGCATTTCACGGGTTCGAATTGTTCGGACACAGCATGCGTCCTTGAAATGATAGATGGGATTCCCGAGACTCGTGAAGACTTTACTGTTACGAACCTTGCCCTTCGGGAGGTAGAACGAATCGTACCTCTGTATACGAGGAATGGTAAATACGGTATCCGACCTGTGGTGATTTTGTCAACCGACGGTAATACTTGGCCAGTCGGTGCCAATGACATTGCGTCTTCAAGACTTTCAATTGCTGCAGCTGATAGACTACGCGCTTGGGGTATTGATACAGTCGTGATCGCTGCACCCAACCACAAAGAGAACCCGGGATTGGAGGAAATGAGGGGCATCGCCAGTCACTACGTGTTTAACCTGCAGAGTAATCTAACTTCCTTTGATGATCTAATCCCTATTGCCCCAAAAGTTGTGAAACTCATTTGCGACAAGTATAAACCCAACCCAGAAAACGAGGTATAGGTGACGTATGGCATTCTTTCATCGACAGATATCTCGATGCTAACGTAGAATTTCTTGTAATCTAATCATTATGAATTCAAATAAATCGCATGATTTTAGAATATCCATTTACATTTTTCTGAGAAATGTATTTGACATGTATGAAGAAACAGCACATTTTTGCAATGGGAATTACAAGCCTCACTATGCGCGCCTGCATTTAATATAATGTAACAAAAAAGGAAACTTATGCAAACACTGCCAAAGCAGAATTCAGTTGGTTAACGTGAACAAGAACAAAGAAATGCTCAAACATCTCTGATATTCGAGAAAATATCTTCTCTTAGGATTATAAAACTCAATGGATTATGATATTGCTTTTGCCTGTACTCGACTTAATACTCTTTTCTCAACACGTTTTCTCAGCAACTAGAAATAGTGAAGAGGTCTCTGGGTAAATCTATTCATATGGTTAGTATGTGACTAGCTTGCTCAGAAATAAGGTCAAATTTTTATATAGATCAAAATCTAACTCAAGTTTTTTGTGCCATCTTAGATTTTGAGATATAGTGTTCTATAAAGGTCAACAAAAAAAAGAGTTGTCCAAATGCCTGGCTGATAATACATTGGCCGTACCTAATAAAGTTCTAAATCTACAGAGACGACGCCCCCCCCCCCTCCCCCTGGGCCCGCCTGTACACTTATTTGTCTAAACTTTGTTACTTACCGGATTTGACACAGGTCACATATAAGATCCATATACAACAGAATGTCCGATACACTGCAACTTGAGGAATCTCCATTTTATAAAATAACAACCCCACTCCGGGGAGTTCTTTAAGTATAAATATGATCCAAATTTATTGTATTACGTAGCTAGCTATCCACTTGCATTAAATTTTATCAAGTATACTTTGTTTACAACCTGGTGTTGCTATCACACTTTAAAAAGTTTCCACTGACTTTAAATATTTATATCCAATTCAATGACTGCTCAGAAGTAAACACAGTGGTATTTATTTTTGACATAGCATGGCCCATATGTACAAACTTTTCCTTCAAGCTTTAAATGAAAAGTCTCAGCTATTTAAACTATAAACAACTTTTTATCAAACAACTCTAAAGGTCATACACTAAAAATGCAGTAAAACTAGTAAGACGAGTACAGTGTCTCTGGAAGAATTGCCACAATTTACAATTTCTGCAACCCTCTGCTCTTATCTTTCCATGTCACACTGGCGGATCCAGGGGCGGGCCTCTAAAAATTGGCCTTTTTGGACATAACTTGGACTTTTTGTTTTTTTTAGGCCAAATTGTCAAAAATGGGCCTTAACCTTTCAAAACTTGAAATGTGTTACCCCTCCTTGTTAGCTTCTGGATCTGCCAGTTAAAGGTCTCAAGTTTAATACTAGGTTATCGCACACATTGCGTAGTTATATAGTAGCTTTTACAAATCTGTATCTTAAATCTACAATAACGTTCATATATTATCAGATATCTCAGTACTTTTTCCAGAAAAAGAAACTAACATAATTTGAAAGGGAAACATTTGCTTGCTTTTAAATTCAATTACATTCTCTATTGTCACTTTAAATAGGACAGACTGCTATATATTTGGCTTCTAGCTTTCTAGTCTTCCTTCAAGTCCCTGCCCATCCTCCCATCTACTTCAATAACCGTTGTTAAAGTAGATAGGGGGGGGGGGGGGGGGTTCCAAGGTCTTGAAGCAAGATTACTTGCGTTCTGAAAGATGCAGGTGCAGTCAACTTAGAAAGACATTATGGATCGTATGGCGTGGACGGTTTCAAATGTCTTTAATTGTGTAGTTTCTTCAGGCTTTTCGAACATAATATTCGTCCTGATTAACACAGCATACAAGATCCGATTACTACATTACTGCAGTCACTTTTTTATAACTGTTGCTCACCCTCTAACTCTGATACAATACTGAAAATAATCGCAACATCGATGCAAGTAATATTTTGATATTCAGACCATGTCTGCCATAGAAGGAATGAAGAAATTAAATTATTTTATTGAGTTTTATGTATTAATGTCTGGGCCGCCCTTTTTGTTGTTCTCTAAATTTTGTTTGGGTCACCCTGTATTGTGTCAGTGGGATTTCATTTGAGTCACCCTGTTATGTACATTAGACTGTTGTTTTAGTCACCCTGTATTGTACTACATTGGGTTGTTTTGGTCACCCTATATTGTGTCACTGGGTTGTTATTTGGGTCACCCGGTTTTGTATATAATGCTGCTGCTTGAGTCTATTGTGCCATGCATTGTACTACATGAGGTTTTTGAGCCATCTTGTTTGGTTTTACCCTGTTTTCTACATTAGGTTGTTGCTTGCTTCACCCTGTATTGTGTCACTGGTTTTCGAGTAATTGAGTATTTTTTAGGTCACCCTGTATTGAACTTCACTGGATGTTTGTTAGGATCACAATCTGTATTACCAAATTACATTGGCTTGTTCAGACCACCCTGTATAAAATCACACATTTTTATGGATTGGGTAACAACCTTTTTTACAACAAAAGATCATTGTTTTAATTTTCATATCAAATAATACTTTATTCCACTTTTTAGTGACATAGATATAAGTTTAACAATCAACATATAAACACACTGTATTATGTGTGTTAGACTATATACAATCCACTTTATAGCTTTATGAACTCCAACAAACCAAGACAATGTATGATCAAATTATCATACTTCCCCAGATGCATCAACTCCTTCAAAATCCAAGCAAATGTGAAACTCTGCAAGGAGAAAGAGCTAAAATACTCTAGTCTTGCATCATATCAAGAAATCAGAATTATGTATTTAATAATAGGAAATTACAAAATAATCAAAGGCTTATTTCAATATTATGTCAAGCTCTATGTTGTAAATCTTCATTTAAATATTACTGGGTCTACTTTGGGAGTAAGAGGAATAAAAAGTCAGATAAACTTTTATATATAGGATTTGTAGGGGTTTGTCCTTGGTTAAGTTAGACTCCATGAAGCTCAGTGTTTGGAAGACATGATTTTTGGTTCTTTGTGCTTTACAAAGTTTTACTCTACTTTTCTACTGAATATAAATACCATGAGGAAAAATGTCACCATGGTTACATAAATACTCCAAAGTGAATAGAAATCCAGCTAAATCTGTTTAAGTGGAACATCTTTAGTTATTGGTACCTCTTAAAAGTGTTCCACTTGGGAGATGTTCTACTTAAAAAGGTGCATTTAACATAAAGTCAGTAGATCTTGGTACTCTGAAAAGTGTTCTACTAACAGAGGTGTTTCACTTCTACAGCTGTTCTACTTTACAGGTGTTCCACCTTTACAGGTGTTCCACCTCTACAGGTGTTCCACTTTACAGGTGTTCCACTTTACTGGTGTTTCACCTCTACAGGTGTTCCACTTTACAGGTGTTCCACTTTACTGGTGTTCCACCTCTACAGGTGTTCCACTTTACAGGTGTTCCACTTTACAGGTGTTCCACTTTACTGGTGTTCCACCTCTACAGGTGTTCCACCTCTACAGGTGTTCCACTTTACAGGTGTTCCACCTCTACAGGTGTTCCTTTTTATAGGTTTCACTGTACCAGAATATTTCAAAACTTTATTTCAATTTTAGTGAAAATAGTGAATATGCAAATCAATTGTGACATTCTCCCAAGTGGTATTATTTAAATAAATACTTTGGCATTACACTATTTATACATGCAAGCTCTAATCTAGTATAAATATAATAGTTCCCATCCATTCAGATAATCACAAATAAATTAGTTATGTAACAAAATCATACTTATTTTTTAACCACACTATAAATTAAGTTAAGAAGCCATGTTATAATAGATATACAGTAAAACCTGTTTTGAGCAAACACCTCAAGAGCCACAAAATGTTCAGGTAGGTGTTCATTACAAAGAGGGAATTTTACACAGGAGGCAATTTAAAATGTGTCTTGAAGTGGTGTTCACTTAACACAGGTATTCACCAGAGAGAGAGAGAGGTGTTCACTAAGACAAGTTTTACTGTATATAATAATTAAATAAAATAAAACAAAAATGCAACAACTTCCTATTGCTACCAAAAATGGATGATTACAAAATGAGTACTTATCATAAATTAAATATTTTTACAAAACTAGACATTCAGGATGATTCATGCTTTCAGAAGTCTTGCACCAAATCCTCTTGTAAATCCTCGCTCCTCCCAAGGTTACTGAGGACGTCAGGAGAGAAAAAGAAGATCTGATGCAAGAGTAAATATTTACCAGTATTTTTTGTTTCCACCATTGAATCAAATTATTTCATGAATATAGATGGCGCCATGATAAAATTCCCATTCATGTGTATATTTGAGGAATTTATTTTTCAAATAATTGAAAGTGTGAAAAAGTATTCATTATTCATATCTGATTAATGTCTTAAAATGTTATTCCTTAAATAAATTTAGAACTGTTCTGTATTCGGGGTTTGGATGTAGGGTATCAAATGAAATAAATCTTTAAATAATCAGCAACTTAACAGTTACTTAACAGGACACAGACACATTCACTCATGAGACACAGACACATTCACTCATGAGACACAATCATACATAATATTAAGTAATAATATACAAATATAAATTGAAACAAGATATACACACACAGAAAATATATGTACAGTGTACTAGTACAGAATACATGTCTACATGATATACATATACAGAAAATACTTGTACTAAATAAGGGACAAACATGTTCAGAGTACAGAATGTAAGTGTACAAAATACAGTATGCACCTGTAGAGAGTACATGTAGAGTACAGTATGTACATTTGGAGAGTACAGTATGTATATGTACATGATGTACATTTTGAAAGTACATTCAGTACATATTATACATGTACAGAATACAGGATACCGTGTATATACATTTGCAGAGTATTTAGTGTTACTTAATACAAAATATACTAATGCTGAGATTAAGTTACATATTGGCACATAATGAGGTTCAACAGGGGTGATCATTCTTTTTCTCACAAAAGCAGAGGAAAAGAGAGGAATTTACAAGGAATAAAAGTGAACAAGGGTGAAATCTATGCATTTAGGCTATAGAAGTGCAAGAACATCAGCTCTGAAGGTGCAATGTCAAAGTGTGACGAGACTTTCAAGTTTTTTTTTTCAGAACCCAATTGTTTTGGCTCTTGACGTGCGTTTTATACAGAAAATATTTTGCTAATTTTTGAAACATTTTAAATAAACTCAATTATTTCCATTTTAAGTTTGCAAGGAAAAATCTGACCACATAGTTGTATTGTTTACATTGGTATCACTTTTGACGTGTCAACTTTGATTTGAATAAACAGCGCATCATCCTTGATATAGTTGCGTGTGTTTAACATAACATGCGAAATAAACTTTGGATACCCAAACCCGAGCGCATCACTGTCTTTTTCAGGTTTCTGGAAATGTTTCCACGAGATATCCGGCAGGAAACTTTCTCGGATGTTGACTCGCTTCTCAAAGTGTTCATTCTGGTCAAACAAGGTGAAAGTGATCGGCAATCTGAATGGCCATTCCAGTAAGTTGTCATACTCCCCAGGTAACAGCCGAATATACAATGAGAGATATTTGTCCTCCCCAGAGCCGTTCCCATTCAAGAAAACCGTCGCTCCAAGTTTATAACCGTAACGGCTGGTATAAAACGACTCGCTACAAATCTCATGACTGGTTTTCGCTTTTGTAGTCGCGAACATATTTTTATAATCGTCCATTTTCCATGTAAGAATACCGTCTGTGATACACGTTAAGTCTGTGATTTTATTGCGGAGACTTTCAAGTTGGTTGTCTTGAGTTGCGACTAGATCCTGCATGAGGTTAAGATGGTATTTGGTGTTTGCATCCAGGTGCTGGTCCAAACTATATCGTGGACACTGGAAATAGAAAATATTACCGTTAAGAAAAAAACAATGTCAGTTTAATGTTTGAAAAAGCAAGGAATATTTATTGAAGTGAACTCTAAAATATAAGCCCATGGCTTTCAGATAATGAAGTTAGAATAAAGAGGCATTATTGTATCAGATAAATGGGCGACCCCCTTTGGGATAAATGAGCAATATTGAACTGAAGCTAAACATTTTTAAACCTGTCAAAAGGAACCTCTTTAACTGAAACACATCTCAAGTGGAACACTATTTTGTGGTACCAAATATGTTCCATTTACACAGGTTTTACTGTACCACTGAATTAGTTACCTTATGTTTGCAGCCTGCCTGCGCAAAGCTACATGGGACTGTTGCAGAAGGACATTGATTCTCAATGTGTTTTTCAATGTCTTCTCTTGGGATCTTAGCTGGATCACATCTATTTGGGCAAGGTATGGGAAACCTGGGACAGTTGTAGGAATGTGACTGAAATAAATAATAAAAAATAAGACATTCATAAAACATTCATAACAATAGTTTAATTCATAATACTGAAATATAGGACCAGTAGCTCTTATGATCCCCAAATAATAAGGGGATCCAGAATGGTTTGGGATGGGGGTCTGAGACTGAGTGCTAGAAATTAAAAAAATCAAATAATAATTAAATAAAAAAATAAATAAAATAAGGTCATTACTCATTGGTTGGTCATTGGTTGTTGTAAATAATCATAAAAGTTCCATCCAAGGTATCATTAGATAAATAAGAAAATAACAAAGCACAGTGACACTCTAAATTGTACAGAAATGACAGAAAATGGGTAGTTTATGTGAATTTTAGAGAAATGAGCAATGATGACCATTAACTTGTGAGTGAAAAACACGGGAATATACACGAGAAGTGCCACCCGTTTACTGTACATTTGATGTTGAAATATATATGAATAAATAAAAAAAATGTTTTGGAGTCTCACCTGTAATGTCTCAAAGACAAATTGTTTGTTACAGAATCGGCAAGGTACAAGACGTTTGTGGCATTCGTTGCGCATGTGGTTGTTAAGGTAACGCCTCTGTAACTTGGCACCACATTTGTTCTCGCACCAGACGATCTCGACTGGGCAGTTCCCTGAATGGCTATCCTGTAACAAAAAATGTTGACAGTTTTGAAGAAAGTTAATTTAATCTTTTACATTTCAAAGCCCCTTTAATGCTCATAATACTTTAGGGAAACTTGATACATGTCACCACCTGCCATTTGTTACATACACTGAACTACAAACACCAAACATTGTCCACAAAAAAGTTGGAGACTATAACAATATGTCATAACTTGTGATAGTGATGCAAAAACGTTTAAAATTTGTTGAAATAATAAAGTTGACTGATCCCGATATACAGTAATTTGATGATTTTTTGATAGTTTTTTTACATGTATTTATTAAACATTTATTTTTAGTACATACCTCCATATATTCGCCCGTGAATTCCTGTCCACATATGTCACATGTTACTTTACGTCGCGGACACGTGAATTCAAGATGGTCGTCCACAACAATCCGAGACAGTCTAGCAGCGCACTGGTTGGGGCAGGGTATAGCATTATAGCGGCACATGTCTAAGTGAGTCTGGAAATATACAGAAATACATTTCAAAGCAGAACAAACAGTGATAAATATTGTACTTGTAAGAGAGGGATGCTATGTACAGTAATTTCCCAAAAATGCCCAAAACCTAATCAGATGTCAGCAATTGTCTGTTCTTGCATCTGTAAACATTTCAAGTTGAACAGGTGATACATTGTTTCTGGGAAGTTTGATGACAATATTTATGTTGCACCTGCCAACCTACTCCACGCACACACACCAGGCAGGATAAGATGGTGGCAATATTGCACTTTTTCAAACTGCAATAAGAATTTCCTTGGACTGATCATTCCACAAATTGGCATAAGACTTGTTTCGATTCAGGAAAAAATATTCGAGTAGATGGTGCAAGGTAAGCCCACAAGTTGGAATCACCCCCATCCCTTAATAATTTTGTAGGATATTTCTAAACATTACAGATATAGAGTTGTCAATAGTCTGTTATTATCTTGTAGGCAAACAATGTTAACATTTTGTTTAATACACCAGGGGACACCAGATGTTCAGTCATTATGATGACCAGATATAAAATGGCATCAAAATGTCAGGCTTATATTAAAAATATAGAGGAATAGAGTGGAATCGTCAAGGAATAAAGGAAATAGGTGTGAAGTCAATATTCCAGATATTACATAAGTCTCATAAAATCAGGAACTATTATCTTTTAAAGAAATATTATGAAATAAGCATTTCCCAAGGGGTGGAATTTTAAACAAGAGTACGGATCTGGAGAATACTCTTATGTTTCTTCTGCAAGTCCCCAAAGATCAGTTCTTCAATATCTATTACTAAGAAATATTATATCACACAAAAAAATCATAATGTTACAAATAACATAACTTACAAATTATTTTGAATATTATTTCAAGCAAAATATTTTGGAAAAATAGACCAATAAATTCTACAACAGCATTAACACTGTTACTATTCTACAATGAGAAATAATGTAATATAATGCACAATAAATATTAATTGTAAAACAAATGTTTTGCTTTCTAAAAGCTTGTATCCATTATGCATGAAGAACATTAACTAAATGTCAGGAAAATTACGATAACTCAGTATAGATAACTTCATTTTCGTGAATCTAATTACAAATTAGTAACCATGGTAACATGACATTACATCTTGGGACTATAATGAATTTAATTATTGTCGTTTTTCTTGTCGTTATATACATTTAGCAAAAACAGACCTTATGTCAATTACCCTGATACCCCAAGGCTAGAAGTAATAATATTACTCTCTGAATAGGATTGATGGTAATGCAAAATCTACCTCTTATCCAAAGAGTTAAGAGAACCAAAATCATTTTGAACAGGGTATATTCCACCTCAATCACATAGAACAAGCAGTATAGTTTAGTTTGAATTTGCAAACTAATATATTTCTGAAATGGAATTGATAGAATTGACAATTTAGAGTTTTATGTTGGATTTTGATTGGGTAAAGCTAGATCAAAGGACAATCTCTTATTCAAAATTATTGAAAAGGGTATAGTTCACCTAAATCAAGCTTGGAAGCAATAGAGTCCTGTTTGACTTTTGTAAATTAATACATTTCTGAAAGTTATGGATAACACTCTCTCCACACAATGAACATATTTTATCGTGACATTTCCCGAAACTCAATTACAATTTATTTAGCTTCAGTAGTTAATTACAGTTCCTACATCGTTAGTATAAGTTATCCTAGATAATTTGATTCAATTTTTAGAATACTGTCATATTTCCGGCCTAATAATTGCAATCATTTGCTTGGTTAATTTGAATATAAGAACAATGGAATAAATGAACAACGCAGTAATTACATCAAAAATAATTTTATGAAATGTCAACTGTAACCAAATTTTATTTCTGATATCTCGTTTCACTTTTGTAAAGTACAATTGTTACGAAATTATATTTTCACATTTGATAATTATGATAAATTGCAGGAAAGCATTTCCTATTTTTATCTCAATTTAAATTTTTATTCCGAGAACATAACAACCATTGTAATTTTACATAATTCTTATTCAGATAATATATTCTTGTCATTTTCAATTAGAACATGAAAATATGTAACTGACATTATTGAGTTATTTTTTCTGGAAATACTTTTACATTTCCATAAAGAGATTAGGGTCCTTACATTATATATTCATAGGTGTCAAATCAAATTTTCTCCTGGAATCCTATGGGATTTCCTAGTGTAATTTATCATCTAGGGTGTTATGAGATGATAATGGATAGGCAATATGAGTCATTAGGGAACATGAAAAGTTAAGAAATGGATTACGCTTCTGTCTCTGAATATTTTTGAGAATTAGGGTCACACTGCATTATTGATCTAATAGAAAAGTTAAAGATCATCCCGATGCAACTATCCTGAACAACTTTTAAGATTGAAAAAACTTCTAAGACCATCAAAGGCAGACACAGTGCAAGGGAGCAGAGTAAAATATGACAATTATTACATCGTTATGTGTAATCTTAGCTTGCCATGCCTATGTTTGAAGATTCAACATTTTTTGGAAATTAAATCTCATGTTCATATATTGCTCTTCATTTTGAACCTGATTTTGAATAAAAGTATAATATTTTCAACCGATTCGTTGAAAGTGAATATCACTCGAGATGCTTCTCAATTTCTAGTCTGGCTAATTGCTTAATCTTGTGTCAAAAAAATTATTAAAAAGCATTATTTCTTAATTAATAATATCAAGTCAAGTGATTGAAATGCATGGAAATAAGACTTAGTCATATTCGAGTGACTTGGGGCATTTGACAATGACAAAGATTAGGATAACAATTGTTTGTCAGATGGTATTGACATAGATCAGTTCTCCCTCTCGGCATCATGAAATAACTTTTATTCCCAATTGAGTGAGTTAATCCCCGATGAAATTGAACTTCTGCACCCTTGCCCGATCATGAACCCGCCAGATTATCAAATCAGCAGATTTCTGTGTTCTGTCTCCAAGGAATTAAATTTTGTAGTTTTAACTTAAAAATCTATATAATGGGTAATATGATATTTCTTCCATGTACTTAATTGTTGTTTTGTAAATTATGTATCATATAAGATAGCTAGTATAATTTTATTTAATAATATCTATGAACTAAATTTATTTCTGCTTATTTTGATCATTTCCCCTCGTTAATGATAAGGAACTCAAGAACTCAAGAAATATATCTAAGAAAGTTCAATATCATAATCTTTCAATTTAATATTGGCAGACCGATAGCCTGTAGCCGATCCCCCTAGGCTAAATTTTTTTAAATCATGCAGTTTTGACCATTCTGAGCACTTTTGAAGTCATTTTGGGCAAACCCATCCCTCCTTGGCAACAGCTGCCTACAGGCCTGATTGATGAACTGGTATGTATGTATCTAAGAGAGAACTCCCTTTTTTAGAAAAGCTTGTTCTATTTTACCTGTAAGTTCTGTAGTGTATCAGTCCATTTGCATCCATCTTTGTGGTGCATACATCTTACTATATTTGTCATGATTTCTGTTTGTAGGTCGGTATCGGGATATATCTGAAAAACACATAGAAACACTTGAGTTATTTGAGAAAAGGTTTACAGTTAAATATGGTAAATGCTGACATACAGTGAAATAATCGAGTAAGGAGCTATGCTTGAGAACCATCAAAGAAATATAAACAATTCAAAAAGGGGAAATATCTGAGTTAGGCAATCGAGCAAGGAAATGCATTTGTATAATATAAAACATTAAATATACTAAATAGAGAGAATATAACTAACTCAAGGAATAAACTGTAGCATAAATAGTAGAGTAAATCTGTCAAGTGAAACACCAGTAAAACCTAGATATCAGTTGAACACCTTTGTATGTGGAACACTATACTCGGAAACCATGTCAAAAATCACAAAGCTATTCATTCTCTACAATAAAACCTGTTTATAGTGAACACCTATGGAGCCACAAAAAGTGTTCACTGCAGGGAGGTGTTCATTAAATAGAGGAGGTTTTATGCAGATCCAATATCAAATGTGTCTTGAAGTGGTGTTCACTAAACACAGGTGTTCACTAGAGAGAGGTGTTTACTAAGACAAGTTATACTATTTTTGACATAAAGGATAAATAACATATTGTAAAACATTTTCAATTGACACACATCATTTTCATGAATTCTGAATTGCTTTTCTTTATGCTTCATGATAAATGCAGAAAGATCATGGACATGTACAATTGAAATATTACATATTCATCATATATATATGTATTATTTGACAATTTCGTGTCATAGCAGCTTATATAAAAAAAACTAGACTATATTAACTATAGAAACAAATAAAAATAAAAAATCATTTTAAAACATATGTAATGTGACTATCAGCAAAAACATATTTTAACTCATCAACTTGTTTGACACTGACAGGATGCTATAAATGTCTCAACATTGAAATAGCTCTACCTCCATATGTTATTTCCTTATATACCTGTAAAAAATACAGATTACATCTATCTCACCTTCGCCCTTTTTGTGCATTTCCAATGTGAAAATCCTTCCTTATCCATCCCAATATCTTTGATATATTGAAACTCTCCAGTACATACTGTTGACATTTTTATCAAAATTTGAATTTCATAGAGCAAATGTTTTAATATATGTCCCTATGAGGTCTTAGTGTTGAATGGCAATTAATGGTTTCTGAATTTTGCTTTTATGGTTCTTGCATCTGGCATAAAAGGATTACTAGCAATTAACAGATGTCTATTTTCCAATATAAATTATGGTCAGTTTTAAATGGCAGGTGCTTATTCAAGCTTGAATGTTAACCTTCTGTTTTATCTGTCAGGCTCTGTCAAAGCAAGGATGCCAGATTTTACAATATCCACTCATAAGCAATGATAATTCGAGCAACAATAGGGATATATGCATGATGATGCTACATTTTATCTTATGCAGGTTAAATGTAACTGTAAGCAGGATCAGGAAGAGGAGGGGATGGGGTCCAATTCCAGATCTTGAAACTCAATGGGAAACGACAAAAAAACACATCTACCCAGAATTCATTTTAAAGCACATGATTTAAACCATCCAATCAAAATAGACGACCTCCCAAAAAGAGAACAAGGATTTTGGGATAGTTATGTATGTGAAAAAGGAAGCCTATTCATTGGTACTTAGATGACTTATCTTTAGTGAAGATGTCTATGACATTGTGCTTGACCTTAGACCTTGTCTTAGATTTCCAATGGGAAAATACATAGAAATGCAGGATTTCCATATCATATTAATTCATGTTTGACAACAATTGATTCATGCATGTATTTTGAAAGATAAAGGCACCATTTCTTCAGATTATTTTCTGTTTTGTCTTCTTTCATTCAAATAATAGCGATAAATAAATAAAAATAAATAATGACATAGCCAATAGCCATTCAATTTCAAATAGATTTTCAATTTTTTTATAATGTTTTACTACTAAGAGCAGAATTTGGTTTTATCTGTTATAGCTTTTGAATAAGATAAGGTCTTATTTGCATTTGCACTTTCTGGTTAAACAAAAAGATTCAGCTTTTTACCACATTTCTTAGATTAAGTCCTACAGATGCTAACTTCCTTTGACTGCTATAAAAAGACCTTACATTTAACTCTCTCAAAAATTATATTTTTTAAGAGCATTTACACACAATGATTTTATATCGCACAATTTTCTGGCATTTAAATAGAATCATATAAAATATATACACTTGATTTTTTGATGTTTCACTCATCACTCATTCTATTTATTTTGCATTAAAAAACACAACATGACCAAATTACATTTTTGGATAATCTCTTGCATCCAGCTTCTGTGTATTTCCTAACAGATGTGAAGCCACCCTTGTAACATAACTCTACTTTAAATACACCATAATGGTAATGAAAGTTTAGGATTAAAATCCCATTACTTCATAATTGCTTCAAATCAATGAAAAATACCAGAACCAAGGAGATGTGCCTTATGAATATTTTTGTACAAAATGATTACATTTGAAACAAAGCCAAAGCAATTAAACAGTTAATTCCCAAGTTAATGATTTGATTCTGGTTGTATTCCCATTTGACCTCAGCTCATCACAGGATGTATACTTTTTGAGGTTAGTTCAAGTTTTACCAAATGTTCAAAACCTCAAAAGCCAGATTGCTTCTTTTAGCGCAAAATGTTTTATAGTTTGGAATGATTAAAAATGGGTTGAGATTTCTATTAAATGGGACTATAGAATTCAATTTTTATTCATAATGAATAAATCATTCGATCTTTAAAGTTGAATTTATCTATATTAAATGTGCATTATATGATTTATGAGCTTACATATGATCGCTACATAATGGGCTTTAATATTATACTGTAATGGCTTACAAAACTGATAATCATAATACAAATACTGTAATAATACCAGTAATATTTTATATAATTAGAAAGCCACAATTATAAGGCTTCCATGTTAACAAACTAGAAATTGCTTGGACTATTTATGCATTTAAAATTGAATAATTGTGAATGGGGCAGATTTGAAGCATCTATATTTCAACTATGGATATGAATTTTAAATATTTTTTGACAGTAGGTTGATACTGGGATTTTAGTCTCCAAGTCTCTGGACATCCCCATCCCCCTCCCCCTTATCTACTTCACTACCAGAAGTTGGGGAGGTATGTAATTAGAGAGGGGTCACAAGGCCTCATAGCTGACTATGCGATTGTGTGGATTTTTGTGTTTCCTCTTAAAATTTCTGATTTCCTAGAAAATCTAATTTCTGCCGGACATTTGCATACAAAAAGAAAACATCACCATCATATTTATCTTCTAGTCTAGTTGGCCTGTTTCTTGATAAAACTTCAAACTAATTCGGGAATATTGATTTTTCTCTGCTTTGGATCTCAGTAGTTAGAACCGCAATAAGTAAAGCCTAATCCCAGTATTTTGTCATAATGGTGACCAGTCAAAAAATAATGATCTCACAAATAGGAAATTTAATGAAAAAAGAGTGAAATTGGCAAGAAATAAAGTGAACAAAAAGGTTTTATGTAAAAAGTGCAAGAAAAGACTTTAGTGATCAAGATAACTAAAATTTGAGATTGATATATACGGTCAAAAAAGATTTAGGTACTTAAAATGGAAGGGCTGAGTGTTTTTACTATCAAAGGCGACTCGTTTTAAGAAATTGATGTTTTCAGTATAATCCCCCATAGATGCCATTTTCTACGCTCAGGCGGATTATTACATTGGTTTTTGGATTACTAAGGATTGAGGCATGTTTTCCCAAAATGGCTACTTCCTATTTATGAACACGAAAATGGTCCATCAATGCATAAAGGACAAATGGTCAACCTATCATTAGAAGTTTCTATGGTTCTCCTCATCTGTTACCCTTGTGACTTCTTATATAACATTGTTTTATTAAATATTTATCTGTAACTTAATAATATTATGTAACATAAAAAAGTCTTTATATCTACTCAATGGGTAATATGTATCTTTAAGTTGAATTTTTCATTAAACAAAACAAAACTTATATATTATTTATCAAAATAAATACAGAACAATTTTACCATGAAGATGTTAACCTTTATACATAAACTTATGATCATGCTTTAGATCCATCATTGAAATGTCAGTTAATATAATATAATGTAAATATAACTCATTGCACTTATCATTAGACATATTTTCAGTCACTACTAAATGATTGTTTGTAGAAAACAAATAACATAACAAAACTTGATAAATCACTAATGATAATACTTCTAAAGATGACAATATTTGCAACACTTTTCAAGGATCCAGGATACTACTTTGTCTAACTACTTTCTCAAATGACGATATTTCCCAAGTTGACAATATATCTCAACTCAAGATTGTTCCACATGACATCATCCATATGACATCATTTCTATATGGTTGTATGATAAAATAATTATTGGCATGCAATAATTTAATTATCACCCTCCTTTACCTGCATGTGCCTCCTAAATATTCCACTAGTGCGCTGCTTAACGACTGCAAAAAACGTCATCCTGCCCACAGCTCAACCCTGTCCTATCTCTTATATATCTAACGAAACCTTAACTTACTCAAGTGAATTAACCATAATTCCTACGGGTATCAGACTGACCAATCAGGAGCTGCTAAACATCGCTGATATTACAGGATATTTGTCAGCATTGTTCCAAGTGGAAAAATCAATACGAAGTTAATTTCGAGGAAATGTCATTTTAAGATGCTGGGTGCTATAGGCTTGGATGGGCCTTTGGGGGTTTCAATGGCTCGTTGTTTTAATTGAGAAAATGTTAATTTATTTTATCTTCATGAACAGAAGTTGAAGATGATTCATAACATTTGTGAAGTTCATGAAAGTTCATTAAAGTTCATATAATTGCATACTGACAAAATGTGACAGAATTAAAACGAAATTTGTTTGGTAATTTCACGACATTTCTGATATCCATGATGACGAAAATTAGTATTAGGGTCTTACTTATAATTAGACATAGAAATGCAATAATGCAATAATTTAAATAAATGACTATTTCACTGAACCAGTAATATGATAGGACAAGCAAAGTATGATTTACAGTTATATGATTGTGGCAGGGAATTCAGAAGTTTTTCTTTCCGTTGCTTCCCATATCTTTAAAGAACAGCACATAGACACAATTGACACTTGGGAGGAGATCATAACATTTCTGAGGAAATGAATGGTTTAAAATCATTCAATTATAAACTTAATTACAATGTTGCATAATGTTTTTACAGTAAAACCTGTCTCATCTGTGGAATGCCTCTGCGGTCAGCCAAAAGTGTTCAGATAAACAGGTCTTCAGTTCATATGTCAAAGCTTTTCCAAATGGCAATGGGTGACCAAGAAAGTGTTCACAATGATAGGTGTTCAGAATAGAAAGGTTTTTGGTATATACAGGTTTCACTGTATTTTTACTGAAGCATCCTATGCAAATTAAACATACTTTTTGATCTGGCATTCTATCTTTAGTTATATGTGTACTCTTTTCAGTAGTATATAACTATGAGCCTTTTGTTGGCCCCTATCAACTTTTCCTTAATTCAATAAAATATAACAGAAATTTGCATTCGCAGCCTTTTGCTATGGGTCCTGTGCTTTCACGATAAATTCCCAATTTTGAAGGATAAACTCATAACTCAATATGATTTATGGACTCTTTCTTTGATATCTTTCCATTTCATTACATTGAGGGGAAGAAACGTATAAATAAAAAATATGATTAAATAAGTGCATGGAGATCATTCCAATAAATAGAAAAAAAATATAAAACTTGGGGGCACAGTGAAACATGTGTATGTATATCTGAACACCTCTCTAATCCGAACACATCTCAATATGAACACTTTTTCATTATCTCTCAGAGACCCCCCATGTCAAACCAGAACAACGGCAACGCCAAAGCGTAGCGAATCCCATCGAACAGAAATGGCTGGCATTTTTACAAACGAATAGCAAATATCATAAAACAACACACCAGAAAGGCCACCATTTTAAAAATGGTTGCTCACTAGCCAAGTTGTCATCTGAAGAAATAAAATGCTTTTAAGTAGCCACCTCTAAAATTTTTGAAAAATCGCACACGTACTTGTAAAATAACACACATAAAAATGGTGGCCATTTTTCAAAATGGCCGACTACTCCCCAAAGTTTTATTAGACAATGTGCCATGCTTAAAGTATTCACATATCAAATATGAACAAAAACGCTCTACTACTTTTCGAGTTATAGTAAAATAGGTTAAAATGGCGGCCATTTTTCAAAATGGCCACGTTCTTCCAAAAGTGTCATTAGAATTAGACAGTGTGCCATGCTTATAGTATTCACATACCAAATATGAACAAAATCGCTCCACTACTTTTCGAGTTATAGTAAAATACGTTAAAATTTCAAAATGGCCGCCTTCTATTAAAAGTGTCATAGGACAGTATGCCATGCTTATAGTATTCACATACCAAATATGAACAAAATCGCTCCACTACTTTTCGAATTATAGTAAAATACGTTAAAATGGCGGCCATTTTTCAATTTTTTTTTTTTTCAAAATGGCCGCCTTCTACCCAAAGTGTCATAGGACAGTGTGCCATGCTTATAGTATTCACATACCAAATATGAACAAAATCGCTCCAGTACTTTACGAGTTATAGTAAAATACGTTAAAATGGCGGCCATTTTTCAAAATGGCTGCCTTCCACCAAAAGTGTCTTTAGACAGTGTGCAATGCTTATAGTATTCACATGCCAAATATGAACAAAATCGCTCCACTATTTTTTGAGTTACAGCAAAAATCGTAAAACGACGAGTAAAGGCGGCCATTTTTCAAGATGGCTGCCATGTGCTTCTTTAATATCTACATTTGTAGCATTATTAACGTCCTTTATAATTTTTTTACATTTAAAACATATTGCTATGACAGTTTTACATATTGCACCTAAATTACTGTAAAATCGGCACTAAAATGGCCGCCATTTTGAAATGAGCGGCCATTTTTAAAATCGGCTTTCGAGCAGAACTTCTACCCCCATAGGGTATATGTGTACAAAATATGAACAAAATCGGGCCAATGGTATTTGAGTTATTGCCCGGACGGACGGACGGACGTACGGACGGACGGACGGACGGAGGCGTTCCCTATATCCCTCCGAACTTCGTTCGATGGGATAATATCCCTCCGAACTTCGTTCGATGGGATAACAAATCTTGAAATGTGAACACCTGCTAATCCAAAGCCTTTTTGGCTGGTCCAAGTGGTGTTCAAATTTGACAGGTTTTACTGTATCTATTAAGGAACAGAACCTCCTAATAATGTACACAACATGGTATAATTACACAAATAATCTAATATAATCAAAGTATAATTTGATAATAACCCATTTGGTTGATTAGTAATCTATTAACAAGGAATGGTTACTACCACCAAGTGTTACAATAAGGGTAGGAAAAATACTCAAAATAAAATAGGAGGGTTGATCCAAAAGGAACTTTTGGATCAACCCTCGTATAAGTGGTAGCATCTCTGTATCGTCACATTTATTCTCATCTTCCAAATACAGGGCACCAGACATCACACACTATGTACCCTCCTTCTTCCAGGCCTGTGTTCGGAGGATTGTGTATATACTTTTTATTAAATGGTACAGTATATCGGTATTTAGTGTGATGATAACAGGTCCATTTACTTAATTCCTTGCTCATTCCACTTTTTGCAAAACCATACATTTCAGAACTGAGTCACCCTAATAATGGAAGATCTGAGTTGTTGAAAGGCATTTTTGCTGTCACTTGCAAAATAACTTCATCCTTTTTATTTGATAAGACTTTTAATAAGACAGAACCTAAATAGGTTATTTTCTTTGGCTTAAGTACATTTTTACAGCCTTCTTGTGCCTGCAAGAAATATATTCTCATCTCACAATTATATTTTATGCTTCTTTAAGTGCTCAATGTATTGTCTCTGCTAATATCTACAAATTCTTGTTAAAATTATGGTATTGGAAAAACACTGATTGCATACTAAAAGATTGACTCTCATAGATTGTATCGAGAGAGATTATAGCTCCCATTATACCAAGGGTGTCCCAACGATACTTATATTTTACAGTAGAAAGTAAAAGCAGATTTAGGTGGTACATTATCTTTGTGTTGGATAGAGCAAACTATAGTGATTCAAGGAAAAGCAAAATCTACATAATCTATAAATTACAACCAAATACACATTGAAAAAATATTTTTTCTATGCAGAATTTTGATCAAATTTCTCTGTGTGATGAATATTCAAAAGAAGATAAACAATTAAAAGTGAATCCATCACATCTCTGACTTTTGGTAATAAATTATATTTACCCCATAAATCATGGAGATATTTGGAAATGCCGACATTTTGTAAATCCTACATCTTCAAAATAACAAAACATAATTATATTTCCAAGAGAGAGAGAGCAACTACCCACAATTCACTAAGCTAATCAGGGGACCAATCAGAATTGAATACGTCTCTAGGTTATCCACAGAATCATGGGATAAAGCATGTTGCGTTTTCTCTATGACTAATTGAGAGTCAAGATTTGGCATATGTAACAAATGACATCTATCTCTGCTTCGAAATTTCCATAATTTCTAATCTTGGTCCCATTTATAGTTAGCTGAGAGTAATTATAGCTTTTTAGCCTATCTCTGTAATTAGCCTATCAATTCTTACAGTTCTGTTATAAATACATTTGACATGCAGAGATCCCTTCCAAGTTTTTTTCTTCCTGATGAAAATTCTTTTTTCCTTTCTTTGCCACAATAAAACAAGTGAGCGATTGCAAAAGCTCACCATGTGAGCTAAACAGCCAAAATGAGCAAAATTTTACCGCATTTTCCCAAAATCATGAGTGATTAGTTTTAGATACTTTTTAATGAGAATTTTGCACTCGGTTGAGAAAAGAAATGATAAATTTAGGATGCAGCCATGAAAATAACACAGTGTCATTACTGCTAGATAAAAAGTCTGCAACAATTAAGAAGCCTCATAAAAGAATAGATAAAGCCTTCACATTTGGAGGACATTCATTTATTTTAACTCCATAACATTATGACTCATACCAGCCATGCCACAAAATACACACCAGGGAATGAAAGCCCAAACTACAGAATTTTTTTATTTTTTTATTTAATTTTTTATTTCAGAGAAGAAAAAACATGATAAAGCAATTACAAAATACAAATTACAATACCGTAAAATACAGAAATATTGAAGCAGTAGAAGACATGGAAATTGATGGGAGGGGATTAATTTATTTTTATTTTTTACAAAAATTAAGGTGTACATGTACACTTCAAAAAGAAATTATTCTTCAAAAATTCAAGGACTAATATTAAAGAATTCATTTAGCACCAAAAAATATATTTGTTTCTTTTCAGGAGCTTCCTTAAGGACGGGGGGGGGGGGGCATGCTTGCCAGTATATACTCCCCACATAAATCATTTTCATAAAAGAGTGAAAATAATTATTCTGTCAAAGTGACTCATGCACTGG